ATTCCAGTCACGCTTGCGCGGACGGAATTAAGGTGCAATTGTGAGGGAGATTTATAATCTGGCTTTGGGCCGTGGTAGAAGCTGGACAGATAAGACCGGGCATGTTGGGCCGAGGTAATTTGGGCCAGTCCAGAGTGGATTTTTCCCGGTTGAGGCTTAGGCCCCTATTTAGGCCTAGCTAACTGAGGCCTCCTCAGAATTGATCTTGCTCGGTCGAGGCTTAGGCCCAAGGTCCAAGTCCAATGTTTGGACCGAGCTTATTTGGCTGAGATGACCGCTTGCCAACCTGGGTTCCATGAGTTGCACGCGTAGCTCGGCGGGAAGTGTCTTGTGTTCACCGGCCGGCTTGTCTTGAACTCGGCTATGTCAAAATGCTTCCAAGCTCAGTTGTTATGGAGCTCGGCGAGCGGAGCACTCAGGCGCGTTACGCAGAACGGTCATGGGAAGCCGAGGTGATGCCACCGTGCTGCCGAGCTCCCTTTGATGTAGCCTGGCGGTTTGGTTAGGTGGTGTCCGCTAGATTTGTGCTGACAGATGGGAAAGCGTCTCCACGTGTCAAGAGACCAATGGGAGTAGATTTGAGCGCATAAAGTATATAAGCATGACTGCGCCCCCCATGCTGGAGATGGAACATCATTTTTGGTGAGAACAACCTAAACACTCAACTCTCTCCTCTCTCTCTATATCCCTAAGTGTGTGCTAACTTGACTGTCGGAAGGGTTTTCCGGCCACACGCCGCCGGGTAGCTCACCGTCGTTGTGTTCGCAGGTCGATCGGACAGACAAAAAGCTTGGTAGAAAGGAGTATGGCCTGTGCAGAATATTTGCTCCCCGTACACTTACCTTACCCCACATTTTTTTCCGGAAGAGATTGGTTCCTGTGATTCAAACTTGTGTTACAGTACTAAAAAGGATGAGCACTTGGCATCATGGTAGGTCATGACTTCTTCTCCAAACCAATAATGATTAATTAAACTCAATTTTGGAGTACAATTTTCTAAATTATGGGCATTCACAATATGTGTGCCAAAATGATGAATAACCCCCAGATTCCCCACCCCATTGCTTTCCAGGACCTTGATCTGTGTGTACGCGCTATAATGATGATGCCAAGTCAAGAGTGCAATATTCTTGTCAATGTTAGTCACACGCATATTAAAGCTAAGGGGAAATTACACTCGCCAACCCTGAGGTTTAGTGAATAATAAGTTTAGCGTAATTACACTAACCTCCCTTTTAGTTAAGGCTAAAGAGACTAGAAATAATATAGATGGTTTTTAGACATAGGGATAAACATGAGTAAAATATATATTTCAGTGTAAAATAAGATAACAATATCATTTTTTCATCCATATAACTCCTGAATTATTGATGGAAATGGGGGCCAAGTGTTAAGTAAATTTAAAACTTCAAGGAAGCTCAGTGTAATTATGTCAAACTTTTGGGACTCGATGTATTGTCTCCAAACCTTAAGGGAAGGTAGTGTGATTTACCGTAAATCTAATCATACATGCTTGCAGTGCAACTGCAATTTGGTTTGAGAGATTGTTATGAAGTAATTTCTTGTATGAAAACTGAAGGTTTCTAAGTTTGTATCAACTCCAAAACTTTCTTTGCACTAACAAGTTCAAGCATGATTCTCTAGAGGCCTCTTCTGACATTTCAAGCATATACATGTGATACATCCATACGATTTACGAATCTTTGAAGTCTAAAATTCTTTACTTCTGCAAGAAAAAATATATAAGAAACTCTGTCATTTAAAGAGCATTACAGATTACTGAGAAGAAGAAAAAGGAAAAAAGTTTGGATTTTTCATCCTATGGTCTTCTAATGCAAAAACATGTGCCATGGCTTATGATCTATCATCTGTCAGGTCTTAGAGAGGTTCATGGTACGCAACACAGATGCCAAACCTACTCACTGATATTGCAGTATGCAATATTTATCATTCTTGTGCTATCATACCTGTCATGCTTGTAACTTTATTATCTGGTGAAGAACCAAAGTTGAACATGGATAATGAGTCCAATAGCATGATTCAGGTATTCAATAAATTAATATGTTTCATTTTCTCATAGAAATCTGTTTCAAACATGGATAAAATGAACCATGAGATAAAGGCCAACAGTTTAGGCTTTTTTTTTTTTCTTGATACATTTGCAAATTTTCTGGAAGACGAGTTTTTAGTTATGAGTTTTGCAATTTTTTTATTGGAATCATTATTTCACAATGAAACCAAACGCTGCCTAAGTGATGGGGTGCACAAATCTGGGCAGATTGAAACGCACAATATCAAAAATAACGGGGGTGACAAGACTTGAACTCCGTATCTACTAGAACCCGAGCTCTGATAACATGTTAGATAAGCAATTGTCCAAAAATTTTGGACTGTGTTTGGATAATAGATTTAGCTAGGGGTTTGGAAAAGGAAATAAACAAATATTTCTCTCGCCTTTTTTCTTTTTCTTTTCAAATCTCTACCTAAATTTATGATCTAAATGTAGCCTTAAGCTGTTAAATATAGAAAATGAGTCAATAATGTTTTTCAAGCTAACATAATCCTTCTCCTCAAAGATCATGTTACATGGACCGAGGTTAATAGATACTGATCAGGGTTCATGGGCATGGCTTTCCAGCAACAAAATTACTGACCTAGAAAATGTTATCACAAGTCATTTGAGACTCTGAATCTTCACTAAGGTAATGGCATTAGTCGCTGCCCAAAGTAATATAAGCACTTGACCTGAATGGAGCGGTATAGCCATTTCAATCCAAATACTATTAACAGCTAATAATACACGCATGCAAACTCACCTGTAGGATTAATTAATTCTGAGCCTGAAGCTCTAAAAAAAAAAAAAAAAAAAATATGATGAGTTTGGTTTGCTTACTACTTCATTAGTTGATATAGATAACACCAGCTAGGCTTCTAAATTTTGGCTTTCGTCTTCCACCACTACATTGAGCTTTACTTCACATATTCTTTCATCTATCTTATTTTGCCAGCCAACTCTGCAAGATTGTTGTCATCCTTGCTTCTTTTTCCAAGCCATTAATCGGGTTCTACAAAATGGCCGATGCTCCCGTGCTTTTAATAGGGTTCAGGATAGGTAGCAGGTAGTCATCCTTACCTTACCCCACATTTTTTTCCGGAAGAGATTGATTCCTGTGATTCAAACTTGTGCTACAGTACTAAAAAGGATGAGCACTTGGCATCATGGCAGGTCATGACTTCTTCTCCAAACCAATAATGATTAATTAAACTCAATTTTGGAGTACAATTTTCTAAATTATGGGCATTCACAATATGTGTGCCAAAATGATGAATAAGCCCCAGATTCCCCACCACCCCATTGCTTTCCAGGACCTTGATCTATGTGTACGCGCTATAATGATGATGCCAAGTCAAGAGTGCAATATTCTTGTCAATGTTAGTCACACGCATATTAAAGCTAAGGGGAAATTACACTCGCCAACCCTGAGGTTTTGAGAAAAACAAGTTTAGCGTAATTACACTAACCTCCCTTTTAGTTAAGGCTAAAGAGACTAGAAATAATATAGATGGTTTTTAGACATAGGGATAAACATGAGTAAAATATACATTTCAGTGTAAAATAAGATGACAATATCATTTTTTCATCCATTTAACTCTTGAATTATTGATGGAAAAGGGGGCCAAGTGTTATGTAAATTTAAACTTTAAGGAAGCTCAGTGTAATTATGTCAATCTTTTGGGGCTCGATGTATTTTCTCCAAACCTTAAGGGAAGGTAGTGTGATTTACCATAAATCTAATCATACATGCTTGCAGTGCAACTGCAATTTGGTTTGAGAGATTGTTATGAAGTAATTTCTTGCATGAAAACTGAAGGTTTCTAAGTTTGTATCAACTCCAAAACTTTCTTTACATTCAAGCATGATTCTATAGAGGCTTCTTCTGACATTTTCAAGGATATACATGTGATACATCCATACGATTTACGAATCGTTGAAGTCTAAAATTCTTTACTTCTGCAAGAAAAAATATATAAGAAACTGTCATTTAAAGAGCATTACAGATTACTGTGAAGAAGAAAAAGGAAAAAAGTTTGGATTTTCCATCCTATGGTCTTCTAATGCACAAACATGTGCCATGGCTTATGATCTATCATCTGTCAGCTCTTAGAGAGGTTCATGGTACGCAGCAACACAGATGCCAAACCTACTCACTGATATTGCAGTATGCAATATTTATCATTCTTGTGCTATCATACCTGTCGTGCTTGTAACCTTAATATCTGGTGAAGAACCAAAGCTGAACATGGATAATGAGTCCAATAGCATGATTCAGGTATTGAATGAATTAATATGTTTCATTTTCTCATAGAAATCTGTTTCAAACATGGATAAAATGAACCATGAGATAAAGGCCAACAGTTTAGGCTTTTTTTTTTTTCTTGATACATTTGCAAATTTTCTGGAAGACGAGTTTTTTGAACTAGTACAAGATCATATCAAATATTATCACTAAGCAAATATTAGTTCGGTTGGCTGTTTCAGCAGCATGCCACTATTTAACACCATTCTTAAACTTAGCACAAACAAGAAATTCACTAATTCATAAAGGTGAGCATCTCATATCGATGGTTTCCATATCTAGAATGAGTATTGTAGAAATCATCATGTGTATAAATTTTTATATTCTATTGCATGATTAGATGAGGAAAGATGTATTGCCTTCTGTCCAATATGACTCTCTTCGAAAATTTAAACAGTCATAATAGTGCTTTCCGCTTGTTCTTCAGTATGCGATTATGAACAGTGAGACAAACTTTAAAATTGAGCTTGATTTAGTTTATTCCAAAGGAATCTTGTGATAAATGCTTAAATTATATATAGTTCATGAGAAGTTGATGGGTAACACTGAACAATTGCAAAACACAGAGTCACAATGACACAAATAAGAAACAATATTCAGCTCATCATCACTCCATTAATTTCCACAAAAGAAAAAATTAAATATATGGAAACACATGTTGCACAACCCTATATGAACTATGAAGACACAACTCCAGTCATGCAGTTTTTATGTACAAGTGTAAAATCTATACACGCTATACATTTCAAAAAAAAAAAATGCCGAATCAAGTCAGAATCTATTTCACTCTTCAAGCCAATCCTAGTATAAAACCAACAAAACACTTACACAATCATTCACACGACAGATCCCTTAAATTAGCTTTGACAAATAGCAGCATTAGAGGCAAATGACATGTTGAGAATAGTGATGGTTGTCTGAGCTGATACTGTTTAATAGCTCCAGGTCAGAGCCAAAAGTGCAGCATTGCCTGTCCATGATAACCAGTACATCATTAAACTTCAAATACCAAAAAAAAAAGAACAAAACCCCTAATCATAAAGAATTTGATTTCTAATGCCATCCTAAAGGTTGTTAAAATAGGGATCTAAGGAATGTTAGAAAGGGCCCGTGGATTGGATCGAGAATCGTAAGATTTTACTTTCAATATAAAATCAAATAAAAAATTATCAATAATGATAATATATGCTAAATAATTTAAAAATTATTAAAGAAAAATAATAAATTTAGTATATTTTATGTTAACATAAATTGTTTTATAGTATTTAATAGTAATATTTATCAATAAAAATTTGATATAAAACTTACAAGACATATATATACATAATAAGAAAAAAATGTTAGTAGTGCTGGGATCACAATAGAATTGGGTTTTTGTGATTGATGGTAGTCACTCTATGAAACCAAAACCAAACCAAACCAAACCAAGCCTTGCCTTAAGTTCCATCAAATGGGTCGGCTACATGAATCATTCTTCTCCACTCAACTCCATCAAAGGCTATTTGGTTAGTCAAATTACGGAGATTCATACCTCTATTTGCTACACTAGTCCACGTCATTTTAGGTCTGATTCTTCCCCTAACACTTTTCTCTACCATCATTATATCGCATCTGTTCATTACTGCTTCTATTTGTCTCCATTACATATGACCAAACCATCTTCATCTACTGTCTCTCAACTCATCTTCTATCGGTTTCTAACTGTGTCTTTTCTAGTCTTACCACACATCTACTTAAGTATCCTCATCTTAGCAACACCCATCTTATCTACATGTTGTTTCTTAGTTGCCCAACATTCTGTCCCATACAATTTCGTTGGTGTAATAGCCGTTGTATAGAACTTTCTTTTTAATCTAGTAAGCACTAGTTTAAAGTTGTAGAATCGTATGATCCTGATACGGATCGGAATTCTCATATCCATCTTAAATCATATTTTTATAAATCCCCACACAAAGATACAGGCCTCAACAACATGATTTGAATTGATGAATGTAAAAAGAGAAACTAGTCGCAAGAGGATACCTCAGAGATAGAAAGTAGGGGAAACTCATATGGTGGATAGGACTTTTTAGGATTCAAACTTCTTATCTCGGACTCTATTGAATTAAGTTGCTGCTGTATCTCCTTCAACAACTTCAATTCTTCTTCTCCTCTGTCATTTGTTTCTTGTCTAGCATCGTGCCTCTCAACCTCAATTATCTCCGGCCTATTAAGTTGTCGAAATTTAGAATGAGATCCCCCAACACCAGTTCCGGGGTGAGGAGGCGGAAGCGCCAAGTGGCAGTCAGCAGAAACCCAATCGCTTGGTCTACACGAACTAGTTTTTTGTTGTGTGGATGACAACATTTTCTTCACCCAATCAGTTTGATCTTTCACATACGACTTAACAGTCTCAGGTGATACAGAAACTGGCTTTGCAAACCCCTCATTACCTTCCAAGATCAAAGCTTTTTCATTCTCATGAGTCTGTGGGACTTCAAAGACATCAAGAACGTTCGAGGAACAAGAGGGATTGGCAATGGCTTCATTTCCTAACAAGTTTTCTTGACGTTTAACTTGACCATATTTGGTCATTATGGAGCCCAAGCTCGAATGTGAAACTAATGAACCAGACCTTGGTCCGCTCCTCAAGTTTGTAGATTTATCTCCTGTGAAATCAGCTATCTCCCTCACTCGTTCATCTAACTTTCGAATTTGTTCCCAATACGAATTAATGTCTCCAACCCCAGAATTCTCCAACTTTTTTTCCATAGCTGAGCTCTGAGCACTGACTTCATAGTTCATATTTTCCTCTACTACCTTTGCGATGATATCTGGACTTGGAGATCTTTCTTTTTCCCCACTACCCTTCTTTTGATATGAGATTTTGAATTGAATTGAAGGCATAGAATTTCTTCTCAAACTGTTCTGAGCTTCCCCAACTAAGTTTTCGTTTCTTTGAAGCAGATTCTCAGGAAATTTTGTTTCACAAACACCAATATCGCTACATCCCAAGCTTAATAGTTTGTACTTGTAAGCCTGAACTTGGTATTCAAGAGAAGCAATCTCCATTTCTTTCTGATATATTAGATCTTCGAAAATTGCTAGAGCTTCCTCCGCGTGACACATCTTTTCCTCTGCCAATCTCTTGTATTGATTCGCTTCCATCTTCATTGCAGCCTTTTCGCCCTGCAAGCGCAAAATCATTGATAGAGCTTCGCTAGCGGCTGTGGAAGAGGCTTCTCTTTCCACATCTAACTCGTTGTAAAGCTTCTGCAGAAGGTGTTGCTGGTCACAAAGCGCTGCTTTTAGAGTTCGGACCTCATTTTCTGCCATTCCCACACTAATACTATTTTCTGCCATTGCTCATCAGTTGGTAGTTGAAAACAAGAGTAATTCAGAACAACTACATAAAAAAACACAACAAAATCATCATCAGTCTCAAAAGGTCTCAAATTCTCAGAAAATAAAATGAAAAAATGATTTCAAGCTGTTTATGAAGATGCGATAGACATTGATGTTCTTTGTGTTAATTTGACTGGCAATAATTGGTGGCGGTGTTTTACCCACATCAAATGATTAAGAAAATCAAGATTTTCAGATTGAAAATCACATTTGCCCACTTCACATATCAAGAAATTTGAAATCTATGAACAGCAATTTTCTCTAACAACAAATTGAAAACACATTGAGAGCAATCAAAAAAATTAAGATCACCAGTATGAGCAAAATATTAGTAACCAATGATTGCTAATTCATTCAATAACCTAGCCTCTATGCAAAATCTGTAAGGCCTAGAAACTATGCAAAAAATAAATAAAAACAGAAAGAGGACTAAAATCTTACCTTAGAAGATAGAAAGAGGACTAAAATCTTACCTTAGAAGATATAAACTCTTCCACAGATCATGACCCAATTGAAACAATAGTCAAAGTGGAGAGAATAAATCTTTTCCAGCAGAATAATCCTCAAGATCCATACTTTTGCAGATCAAAAAAACTAGTGGTCACTCCAAATACCCAGATGAAGAATATAAACTCAAGGAAGATTAAAGTGGAATTTGACCAAAAAAAATAGATACCCAGATCAAAATTTTCAGAGAAAGAGAGAGAGGAGAGAAAGAGAAAGCACCTTTCTTTTGGGTATCCTTAAACAGTGTAAAGGTTACAAAAAAATCAAAATCGTGGAGTATGTGTTTGTAACGGTATGTTGCTTTGTCTTTTTACCAAAGGAAAGGACGAGAATTGCGTTTGGAGAGAGATGTGAGAAAATGGATCCGTATTGCTAGGAAATGATTTTGCCAAGTTAGCTTCTTTTGAGTTTTGACCTCTTTTTTACTCATCAAATGGAGTTAGTTGTTTGACTTTTTGAGTCTTTGGTGTATTTTAAGGAGAAAATGTTGAAAAGATAATTACAAAGGAGGGAATTTATTTATTTATTTATTTATAAATATTAATGATTAAAATTATAAATCTTTCATGAATGTGTAGTCAAATTTAGTTTAGTTTTTACAAATTTATTTTAGAATTTTTTATTTGGAAAACTGAAAACTAATTTGGTGAAAGAAATAAAAAAAAATCAAAAATATTGATCATTATTACATAATTTTATCTTTTGAGATACCGGAAATAATTTTAAAAATTTTAAAATATTTTTTTAATATTCATTTTTATCAAATTAGTTTCCATATTTCAGAAAATTTTTGAATTTTTTTTTCCAAAAACAAACCAACAAGGTAGGCCATTATTTTTTGGGGGGAAATATCAAATCGGTAATATTTTTAAAAAAAAATTACAAATTAATTATAAACTTTATAAATATTAACAATTAAAATAATAAAATTTTCTATGTATAGTTATTTTTATAAAGTTTTACGGGTGTAATTGCCTCTTCTTCTTTTTGTTCTACATTCCACTAAGTTGTAATTATCCATGATTTAACGGCCAAAGCGTAGTGGTTTTCCTTGTAACTAGTAAAACGTAACCCTCTTGCTAAAATAAATAATCTTCTCATTTAGGCCTTGTTAGTTTTATAAGTAAATTACACTTTGCTTTCTTTTTGCGTGGTCATTTTTTTACTTCGGCTCTTCAAATTAATTTTTTCTCACTTAGCTCTTTATGTTTTAAATTTTTTCTAATTTAGTCCAAAAGCTAACTTGTGTCTTAAATTACCTGACATAAATTTTTTGTTACATATAACTTATACCTGCTATACAAATTCAAATTCTAATATAATAAGATATTTTTATATTATATACAGGGAAAATCGGTCTAAGGTCCCTATCTAACTTTTAGTAATGGATTAGATTCACAATATGTTCTTTTGTAGTCTAAGGTTCTCACGCCCGTGCCCTTATATTACACCTACACTCTCATAGCCAGAGAGGATAACCAAGTCAGGAACATAAAGATCTGAATTTGATTCTCGTTGGTCGAAAACCCGAGAAACTCAAGGAGGGTGTTTGAGATCAATCCTCAACACCCAATCCAGAGAATTTCTCTGGTTTCAATCCAGAGAATTTCTAAGAATAATTAGACTTTCCAGAGAAATTTGGTCTGAAATTTCTCTGGACCAATTTTCTCTGGACTGAAATTTCTCTGGATCAAAGTTGAGGGACCTTAGACATTATGAAAATATTGAATGTTCTTTATGTTATACAACCTTAATATCAGGGACCTTAAAAAAAAAAACCCTTTATATACAGTTCATATGGTATTCTGTCTAATTTTAGATAAAAGTTAACTTTTGAAATAAATTGGAAAAAATTTGAGACAAAAAGGGCCAAAGTGACAAATAACAAATATGAAGGACTAAAGTGAGAAAATAACTAAATATAATGGGGCAAAGTGTAATTTATCCTTGTCTTAAAAGGTTTATTTTAGGTCCTTTTAATTAAAAGAATCTAAAAAATAAATTTTTTTATTGAAAAAATCCATTTTTTTTAATCTTCAATGGATTTTTTTTTTTTTTAATAAAGTTTTAGGATCTTTTAATTTAGTAGGGCTTAAAAATTGAAAGTGTATTTTAGATTTTTTTTTTAAAATTAACTAAAAAATTAATTAAGCAATATATATTTATGAAATTGGGGCAAACCCTCAAAATAAAAAATAAAAAAAAGGTTCAATTGACACATATACTGGACTTGACTTGAAGTATATATCCTTATCAAACTAATTAAAATTTTGTTATATTTTAATTTAAAAGTTACTATTACTATTTTAGGTATACATTTTAAATATACTCTGCAACAAGCTCTCTAACTTTTTTGCCTTGCTTTTTAAACATTATTTTTTATTAGTAATTTTAATTTTAAATTTTTTTCATAAACTCTACACAACTAATTCCAAAATATCTAAAATAATATTTTTCAATGTTAGACTAGGATTTTTTCTTTTTTTTTTTTTCTTTTTATCTGGCAAAATTGGACAACCCTCTCTTTTTGCTCTCGCCGTATTATTGGACTAAAGCTACATTTCTTAAGCTAAATCTACAAAAACTAAAATAACTAGCCTAATAAATAGTTTGAAGAAGTTGAAATTTAATAATTTACTCATTATTTTAACTGAAAAATAAAAATACAAATATTTTTTTTCTTGTTTTTAACCATTAAAATCATTTTAGATGAGAAAAACCATTTTTTAAGATTGTTTTGCAAATTGATTTTTTTTTAGTAATTTTTTGACTTTTTATAAAAAGACATACAAAAGGTAAAGAGAATAATTATTATTATTATTATTTTTTTTTGTAATAACTTTATGATTAAAACTTCATGTTGCCAAAATAAAGCTTAATTGGACCAATTAAAAACTTGTGATGACAATTTTATTTTTATTTATTTTTGTCTAATTTTATCATCGTTAAAGTTAAGATAAACACTACCATGCAATTGACCTTATGACTTTTTCATTTGAAAGGTAATCATATGTGAGACGCATCCTACCATATTTTAAATAATTTTCCAACAAGTGTCATTTGATCAACGCATGAAACCAATTTTTAATTTTTTTTTCTCCCTTTTTTTAACACCGTAGAATTTTCTCCCATATAAGTGGGCTATATTTTAACATTATAACTCAAATTTTAAATCCTTAAAAAATATTTTACTTTTATCTTTTTTTCAATAAAATTTCATATTAATTAAATGAGTACTAAAAAATAGATTTTTTAAAATTTGTTACTTTTATTTAACTTTTTAATATCATATTTATTTTTTTATTATATTTTTAACTTTAAATAGGGCCTATGGGTCAATTTTTTAATCTTTATTATTAAAAAAAAGGAAAAAAGAAAAAGGTCTTCCAAAGTTAGGGATGGTTTAAGATGTTTTAAATAAATACATTTTTTAACTTTTTATAAATAAAAAAAATATGTAGAAAAGTAGAAAAAATTAATAGAAGAATAGAAAGAAAATGTTGATAGATGTTGATTAATATAATATAAATAAATATAAATATGTAAAAAAATATATATATTTTTAATGCATACCAAACACTACTTAATTAATTGGCACTGATTAGCCATCATAACACGTGGGGCATAATATCAATTTAAAGTTGTAAACCGGTTTTCACGAGGCTTTTTAAACAAGGAAGTTTAAAAAGTCGTTATGGGCCGTTCCAACGGCTATATGGTTTGCTGTGTATGGGTCCTGCTATGGCCGACCATTTCCACCTAACCCTAATAAATGCGTTCGTGGATAATGATGTTAGACCCGAATCTGGAGACTAGTGGTATAAAAAGCGACAAATTATTCATTATTTTATGACTGAGCAAATTTAGGTAGTCTTATTGGTTCAACTAGCGAGATTTATTATTTGTTTGTTTATTACATTTGAGAAGATAATTAAATATTTATTTAAATATGGATGGAGCGAAACAATACTTATGAAGTAATGAATAATTTCTCGTAAAAAACATCCGACGTATAAGGCTCTCAGCCTGATCCAAACTATTTGTGTAGAATCAGACCCAAGCCCAATCCTAAGCCCATTGAAATTGGGGCGTTGAGCTTGGTCTCGGATTTGGGTGTCGAAGTGTACTTGGGCTAGACTTTTTTTTTTTTTTAAAGTCCAAAAAATACAATAAACATATCAGAAAAAAATAATAAGATTTAATTTAAATAATAACTCTTAGAGCGAAGTACCAATAAATTTTAAATAGTGATCTTATGAAATGTTTGGCCCTCTATTTTTTCTAACGGATCCAAAAGCCTCATTCTAGCGTGAATTACATAAAGGGCCAAGTATAAACGCGCGTGTGTTATATGTTGAGAGACAAATGTGAGTTTGCTCATAATATTGAAATCACTAAACGTAACATTTTAAAAAAACTCCATAGTATACTTG